AGGAGCCCCACCCCGGCCGCCCTCCCCGGCCAGCAGGGTGAGAGCCGCCCGCCTGCCTCCGGGGAGCAGCCGATAAGCAGCCGGGAAAGGTCCCAATTCAAGGTCTCAGCGATGACTATTCGCTGTCTCGCTCCCCGGCCTGCCCTTGGCCCAAACAGATGTTCTGCTGGTGGATGCTGTTCTGTTTTGCTTTTTAATAAAAAAAAAATTTTCTAGTTATTAATTTGAGAGAGAGGAAAAGAGAGAGTGAGTGAGAGAGAAACATTGATGGGGTGTTCCACCCATTCATGCACTCACTGGTTGATTCTTTTATTTATTTTTATTCTTTTTATAGATTTCAGAGAGGTAGGGAGAGGGAGAGAGAGAGAAACATCCGTGATGAGAGAGAATCATGGATCGGCTGCCTCCTGCACGCTGCCTACTGGGGATCGAGCCCGAGACCCAGGCATGGGCCCTGACGGAGAATCGAACCCTGACCTCCTGGTTCCTAGGTCGACACTCAACCACTGAGCCACACCAGCCGGGCTCCTTTTTCTTTAAAAACAAAATTTTTTTTAATTTAATAATTTTACAGAGAGAGAGAGAGGAAGGGAAAGAGAGAATCATCAGTGTGTTGTTCCACTCATTCATGCATTCATTGGCTGATTCTCGTAAGTGCCCTGCCCGGGGATCGAACCGGCAACCTCGCATATCGGGGTGCGATGCTCTAACCCACTGGGCTCCCCGGCCAGGGCCTGACACGGATGTCCTGAGCCCTGTCTGCTCGGGGCCTCTGCAGCTTTTGGGGAAGAGTCTGTCTCAAAGTCGCAGGCGATGGAGTTCAGTTATATAACGTTACGGATCCCCGGGGGCGCTGCTTAAGAGAAACACGACTAATTAGCCCATAAAAACCGACACACCAAATGAATTCCGTCCTGCTCTGGTGACTTCCGCCCGGAGAAAGTTATAAACACACGGCGGATGGCCACGGAACCTATATTTAGCCGGCGCGGGGCTACCTGGTATTTATAATTAAGGAGGTCCAGGGAGAGAGAGAGAATGGGCAGTTTGTTGTTAATTTTTTTTTTAATGAAAAAAATTAAAACCCCTGCTTCCCATTTCGCTCTCACACAGACACAGAGCAACATGCTCTTACTGCGGTAATTATAATGCCGACCCCAGCTAGGATGCTTGCCTAATTTCCCGGTCTCCCAAATTTGCCTTCTGCAACACGGAGTCCCCCCCCACCCCCGGAGCATGCAATTAAGCTGCTGGACTTCCTGCGGGTTCCTGAAAAGGCCTTCATTTCGACAGAGTCAAGTTCATTTTCTCTTCCCCGAAGCCAGAGGGGGCTGGCTTTGGAGGAGGGAATTGACTTATATACCCGGCCTCACCCTCTACCTTTCACGTCCACAAAGGGCCCACGTGTGACAAACTCCACAACCCTCGAGCTGGAGATCTTCTTTCTGTTTTTTTTTTAATTTTTAAACTAGTGGCCCCGGTGCACGAAATTCGTGCACATTAAAAGGGAATTAATGAGAGGAAATATTTTAATATTGCTATTTGCCCTTTCTCCATCATAGAAGTGTCAGAGATGAAAGAAAATTAGTAAAATGTATATGAATATCCCCCTCCTGTCAGAGGCTGGGGCACGTTTCGGGACCCAGAGTCAAGTCCCCGCCCAGCTAATTTTTTTTTTAATGAAAAAAATTAAAACCCCTGCTTCCCATTTCGCTCTCACACAGACACAGAGCAACATGCTCTTACTGCGGTAATTATAATGCCGACCCCAGCTAGGATGCTTGCCTAATTTCCCGGTCTCCCAAATTTGCCTTCTGCAACACGGAGTCCCCCCCCACCCCCGGAGCATGCAATTAAGCTGCTGGACTTCCTGCGGGTTCCTGAAAAGGCCTTCATTTCGACAGAGTCAAGTTCATTTTCTCTTCCCCGAAGCCAGAGGGGGCTGGCTTTGGAGGAGGGAATTGACTTATATACCCGGCCTCACCCTCTACCTTTCACGTCCACAAAGGGCCCACGTGTGACAAACTCCACAACCCTCGAGCTGGAGATCTTCCTTCTGTTTTTTTTTTAATTTTTAAACTAGTGGCCCCGGTGCACAAAATTCGTGCACATTAAAAGGGAATTAATGAGAGGAAATATTTTAATATTGCTATTTGCCCTTTCTCCATCATAGAAGTGTCAGAGATGAAAGAAAATTAGTCAAATGTATATGAAAATCTCCCTCCTGTCAGAGGTTGGGGCGCGCCGCGGGACCCAGAGTCAAGTCCCCGCCCAGCCGTGTACGCCTCAAAATCGTGCGAGACCCAGACCCGGCCGGCCCCACCCCATCAAGCCCCACAGGGTGGGGGAGTGCAGCCTCAGGTCCCCCAACACAGCCTCAGGTCCCCCCGCCTGGCGCCAGGGCGCGACGACCATTTGCATATTACCTCTTTATTATATAGGATTTTTATTGATTTCGGAGAGGAAGGGAGGGGGAGAGAAACCTCAATGATGAGAGAGAGTCACGGATCGGCCGCCTCCTGCACGCCCCCTACTGGGGATCGAGCCCGAAACCCAGGCCTGTGCCCTGACCGGGAATCGAACCGTGACCTCCTGGTTCACTGGTCGATGCTCAACCACTGAGCCCACGCCAGCCGGCCGGCTGTGGCTTCCCCTCCTGAGTGTGCCTTTAAATTCCTCACTTTAGGAAATCCTCACTCATTCATCAATTCATTCATTGCATCGCCTTCGTGTGAATCCAGCTTTGCTCCTTGGAGGGGCTGTGAACTTGGTGTCTCGTCCGATCAACGTGCTATCTAAGGAAGCCGGAATCCTGGTCTTCTAGGCAGGAAGTCCTGGCCGCCAGGAGAGAGCCGGCACCGTATGCCGATTTACATATTTTATCACACTTAGCACGTTTTCATTTTGCCAGCTCCCCTTAAAGCCCATTAAGCACTTAATTGGTTTGACTTCCTGTACAACCAGGACATTTTATTTTTTTGCTTGCCTAATGCAATTACCATAATCTCTGCCTCTGCTTCTCCCTGGAGTCATCTTAACACTTTCTCCTTTAAAAAAAAAATCTATATATATATATAGATTGATTGATTTCAGAGAGGAAGGGCGAGGGAGAGAGGGAGAGAAACATCAATGATGAGAGAGAATCACAGACCAGCTGCCTCCTGCACGCCCCCTACTGGGGATGGAGCCCACAACCCGGGCATGTGCCCTGACCCGGGAATCAAACTGTGACCTCCTGGTTCCTAGGTCGACGCTCACCACTGAGCCACGCCAGCCGGGCAACACTTGCTCCTTTCCATTACTAAATATTTTATGTTTCTCTCCTTATTTTCTCGGACTCTCCCTCTAGACCAGTGGTTCTCAACCTTCCTGATGCCGCGACCCTTTAATACAGTTCCTCATGTTGTGGGGACCCCCGACCATAAAATTATTTTCGTGGCTACTTCATCACTGTAATGTTTCTACTCTT